CCGGGCCAAGCCAGTTCTCCTTCGGCGCCCACAGGAAAACCGAGGCCAGCTGGGATCACGTCCGCGAGGGAGCCGCCCGGGAGCTCTGCGACCTCTCCCGGCTTCTCTTACCCGATTCGACTGGGGCCGCTTCCGTGGTGCCGGCATCAGCTCCTCGCACGCACAGAAGCCCGGACTCTGCCTGTGCCTGGCCGGCGCTAGGACCCAGCGGGGGGCGGGGCCAGCGAGCCAGGAAGCGGAAATGCAGCTTTCCGCGGAGAAGGAAGGGGAAGTTAACAGCAGCACCTTCCGCCTGTGGTGGCGGAGAAGGGTCTCTGGGTGCTAAGGGGAGGAGACGCCGGGCCGACTGACCGTACACTTCGGCTAGTCCACCGAAGTGTGTCCAAGACCTAAAAGGTGGGAGGACGGGCCGTGCTCAGCCTAAATCCGTTTATATTCCACATTTCCTTCAATAGCGTGTGACTTTAAGGGAGTTTCCCCATCTGTCTTAGGAAGTCTTTCAGCGAGCCCCATGAAAAGTATTGCTAAAGTGTTGTTGCCAGGGCTGCAGAATCCTTTTTTTTTTCCCCTTCTCTCATGCAATATATTCCGGGACGATTTCAGCAGCTCTGGACGGAAGTGTGCCTAAGGTAGTTGCTAAAAAATGCAGCGTCGCGACCTCCGTGGGCGGAGTCAGAGTTGCTCTCAGCCAGACCCTAGCGCCGGATGTGTGCGCGGAACCGCTGCTTGGAGGCGGGACAGGAAGTGTTCCTGAGGCGGAAGTTTCGCGGGGAAGCTTTTGTCTCTAGGACACTTCCTGTTTCCTAGTAACAATAGGAAGTGTGAGCTGGGTCTAGACGCCCAGCTCTTATCAGCTGTACTTTTTTCCCTCTATTTCCTTACTTTCCTCCCTTATTCTTTCTGTTTTTCTCCCCTCCGGCCTGTCTGGAACTCTGGATGAGTGTGTGTATATGGGAGCGCGAGAAGCCTCCACAGCCACTCCTTGGGGCGCTCGGCTGCAGTTAGGGTAAGGGTCTCAGTGCGCAGGCGCGCTCCTGTTCGCGGTCCCCAACGGACGCGCCTGCGGCGGGAACAAGAAGGGGTTGCTGGTGCCAGATAGATATCCAGAGGATACTGCAAGAAGAACTGAGTGACGGGAGAGTACCTCATTGGTGGTTGATTTGGGAAGGGAACTGTTGAGAGAAGGAGCTTTGGGAGGTGTGAATTCCGGGAGCAGTTCATTGAGGGGATTAGTGTCTGAGGTAGTCGTATTGGAGTCCCATGGAGGTCAGAAGAGGCCAAGAAGGTACAGGAGGCATGAGGGGCTACTACTGAGAAAGCAAGGGCCTTGGAATGAAGACTCGGTGGGTTTGCTCATGTGTAAAATGCGTTAACGGGAGCATTAAGTGTTGTGAGGATTTGGTGATACAATAATTATACGTATCCCAGTGCCTGGCACATGGTAATACTTAGCACGAGTTGCTGACATTATCAGTAGTAGAAGAGGAAATTGAAGAAAAAACGAGAAATAAGAATGGGATTAAAAAGGGATGAACTGAAATTCCCGCTTGAAATGGGATGGTACTTTTATCAAGATGGACGATAGTTTGGGTAAAGGAACTGGCTAAGAGAGTTTTGGAAAAGAGACCTTTTTGGCATTGTAAGGACTACAGGAGGTGTGGAAACAAGCCAGTCTTTTTTTTGTAGGGAACCTCTAACCTCTCAGAGGATAAAAGTCCTCAACTTTCAGCTGGAGAAAGTAGCTGTTTTTTCAGGCTTCCAGGCTACTCTCGCTGAAGGGTAAAAAGGAAGACTGGACTTATTGAAAAGATTAGTTTCCTTTTAAGATGCCACAGGGAAGTTTTATACCTTCAGAATTGTAGAGAACAGAGGGTTAGGAACAAAACCTTTGGGATGGTCTGAAAAACATGATAGAACTATGAACTGTAGACCGTGGCTTCTTTATACCTCTAAGTATAATTTAAGCATAGAGGAGCTCCCATATTTGAAAAGCTGTGCATGGGGAGACCGTAAATGATGGTACTTCCAGATTAGACCTAATAGAAAGCAAATCCTTGGGCATTGATGGTTGGGAACCTCTGGTATATTTATTGCTCATAGAGCCAAGACAATGTTAACTCAAGCCTTTCTTTTGACCACTGCCCCCTCTTCCTAGGCCCCTGCACAAGAAGAAGATGCTACTGCCACCTGTCTACTTCTCCTGAACCTCCAGATTTCTGTCACATTGCCCCATGGAGGATACACCCCTCTCACTCAGCTGCTCTGACTGTCAGCGCCACTTTCCTAGTCTTCCAGAACTTTCACGGCACCGAGAACTACTCCATCCATCTCTGAATCAGGACAGTGAGGAGCCTGACAGCATCCCTCGGCCCTACCGTTGTCAGCAGTGTGGGCGTGGCTACCGTCACCCAGGGAGCCTGGTCAACCACCGTCGGACCCACGAGACTGGACTTTTCCCCTGTACCACCTGTGGCAAGGACTTTACCAATCCCATGGCCCTCAAGAGCCACATGAGGACACATGCTCCTGAGGGCCACCGCAGGCACAGGCCCCCTCGCCCCAAGGAAGCCACTCTACATCTACAGAGTGAGACAGTGTCTGCTGACAACTGGGGCCAGACTCTTGGACCTAGGGAAGGCTGGGAAAACCAGACAAAACATACAAAAGAGACACATGGTTGTGAATCTGTACCTGACCCCAGGACAACTCCAGGGACTTTGGAAGATACACCCAGCAGACAAAGAGAAGACTGGGAAAGCCAGCCAGATCCTGAGGAGAGTGCTGAGGGCTGGGGTCCTACCACTCACTCTGCCAGAGCCCCACCTCTTCCCTTTCCACCTAGCAGCCTCCTTAGTAATTTGGAACAATATTTGGCTGAATCAGTAGTGAACTTCACAGGGGGCCAGGAGCCTACCCAGTCTCCTCCTGTTGAGGAGGAGCGGCGGTATAAATGCAGTCAATGTGGCAAGACCTATAAGCATGCTGGGAGTCTCACCAACCACCGCCAGAGCCATACTCTGGGTGTTTACCCTTGTGCCATCTGCTTTAAGGAATTTTCTAACCTCATGGCTCTGAAGAACCACTCCCGACTCCATGCCCAGTATCGGCCTTACCACTGCCCCCACTGCCCCCGTGCTTTCCGGCTGCCCCGGGAGCTGCTGGAACACCAGCAGTCCCATGAGGTTGATAGGCAGGAACAGCCCTGGGAAGGTAATGGGATGCCTACTGCCAACGGGCACACAGATGATGAGAGTGCCCTGAACCAGATACCTACTACGCAGATGCTGAATGGCTTGGAGCTCAGCATTTCTGGGGAGTTGGAAGATAGTGGCCTGGAGGAATACCGGCCTTTCCGCTGTGGAGACTGTGGCCGAACGTACCGCCATGCTGGGAGCCTCATCAACCATCGAAAAAGCCATCAGACAGGTGTCTACCCATGCTCAATGTGTTCCAAGCAGCTGTTCAATGCAGCAGCCCTCAAAAACCATGTGCGAGCTCATCACAGACCCCGGCAAGGAGCTGGGGAAGATGGGCAGTTGTCATTGCCTCCAGCTCCTCTGCTTTTAGCTGATATTACCCACAAGGAGGAAGAAACCCCCACCACCACCCTGGACTATCGCCCCTATAAATGCAATGAATGTGGTCGGGCTTACCGCCACCGGGGGAGCCTGGTGAACCACCGCCATAGCCATCGCACAGGAGAATACCAGTGCTCACTCTGTCCCCGCAAGTACCCCAACCTTATGGCCTTGCGCAACCATGTGAGAGTACATTGCAAGGCTGCTCGAAGAAATACAGACTCGGGGACGAAGGGTCCCTCTAGTCACCGCAAGGTGGAACTTTTACCTAACTCAGTGGGAGCAGAGCCAACCCTACACACAGACGAGGGGCACATGTGCAAACATGAAGAAGGGACTGTCAATATCCCCCCAACAGCAGATAAAACACCACCACTAATATGTAGCATCTGTGGGATGCTTTTTGAAGATCAAGAGAGTCTTGAACAACATGGCCTGACCCATAGAGAAGAGGGAAATAGCAGAACAGAGACCACAGTATCACCTCCTAGGGCCTTTGCCTGCAGAGACTGTGGCAAGAGCTATCGACACTCTGGCAGCCTTATCAACCACAAGCAGACCCATCAGACTGGGGACTTCAGTTGTGAGGCCTGTGCCAAGCACTTCCACACCATGGCTGCCATGAAGAGCCATTTGCGACGGCATAGTCGGCGACAGAGTAGGCATCATCGAAAACAGGCTGGCAGTGGGGGGGGAGCCAAATTCCCACTAGAGGGGTCCTGGGCCCAGGAGTTGGAAGACAGTGAGGGCCTGGATTCTTCCCAAGACCCTTCAGGGGAAAGTACTTGTGGAACCAAAGGCAACTTGGAAACTAATGGGGACTGTTTGCAGGCTGAATCTGAAGGCCACCGTCATGTGCTTGAGAGGGATAAGGCCTGTTTCCAGGGTGATAAAGAGAGCAGAGGAACTGAAGAAGGACTGGAAAGGAAAGAGGCCTGTTTCCTTGACAACTTGGACATCCCAGGTGATGAAGCCAAAGGCCCTTGCTTCTCTGATGACCTTACTGGGGTGGATGAAGACCAGAAATCAACCACTGGTGAGCCCAACTCATCTTCCCACTCTGCTGAAACTGTTACTAGCTGGCAGGCTGAGGTCACTCACAAATGTTCTGATTGTGGGCATTCTTTCCCCCATGCCACTGGACTGCTGAGCCATAGGCCTTGCCACCCACCAGGCATCTATCAGTGCTCCCTCTGCCCAAAGGAGTTTGACTCTCTGCCTGACCTACGCAGTCACTTTAAGGACCATGGGCCAGGGGAGGCAGCCTCAAAACAGCCTTTCCTCTGCTGCCTCTGTGGTATGATCTTTCCTGGACGGGCTGGCTACAGGCTTCACTGGCGCCAGGTTCACAGCTCCTCTGGTATGACTGAGGACTCAGAGGAGGATGGGGAAGAGGAAGGGGCAGCAGAGGTAGCCTCTACTCCTAGCACTCCACTGCAGCTCTCAGAAGCAGAGTTGCTAAATCAGCTGCAGCGGGAGGTGGAAGCGCTGGATGGAGCAGGTTATGGGCATATCTGTGGCTGCTGTGGTCAGACGTATGATGACCTGGGAAGCCTGGAACGTCACCACCAAAGTCAAAGTCTGGAGAATACCATAGATAATGCTCCAAGCCATTTGGAAACACCAGGTGATGCCACAGAGATAGCTACAGATGCTCTCCTTGAGAGTACAGTGCCCTCTATCTCTGGAGAGGGTGAAGACATGAAGTCTGAAGAGGGATTGAGTGACACAGTTCTAGACAGCCTTTGCATGCAGGTTGGTGAAAGTTTTCCGGAGGTTCACCCCCGTCCCTTCCGCTGCAACCAGTGTGGCAAGACCTATCGCCATGGGGGCAGCCTGGTGAACCATCGCAAGATCCACCAAACTGGAGACTTCATCTGCCCTGTCTGCTCCCGCTGCTACCCCAACCTGGCTGCCTACCGTAACCATCTGCGGAACCACCCTCGCTGCAAAGGCTCTGAGCCCCAGGTGAGGTCCATTCCAGAGGTAGAGTGCAGCAGTAAGCCCCAGAAAGTGACAGAGGGAAAGCCAGAGCAGGCAGAAATGGGAAAGCTCCAAGAACTTAAAGTGGAACCCCTGGAGGAGGTGGCAAGGGTGAAAGAGGAGAAGTGGGAGGAGACCACTGTGAAAGGGGAGGAGGTAGAGCCACGGTTGGAGACAGCAGAGAAGGGTTGTCAGACTGAGGCTAGCTCTGAGCGGCCTTTCAGCTGTGAGGTATGTGGTCGCTCATACAAGCATGCTGGCAGCCTCATCAATCACCGGCAAAGCCACCAGACTGGCCACTTTGGCTGCCAGGCCTGCTCCAAGGGCTTCTCAAACCTCATGTCCCTCAAGAACCATCGGCGCATCCATGCAGATCCTCGGCGTTTCCGCTGCAGTGAATGTGGGAAAGCCTTTCGCCTGCGGAAGCAACTGGCCAGTCACCAGCGGGTCCACGCTGAACGATGTGGCAGTGGGGGCACCCGAAAGCTGATGCGGGAAGATCGGCCCTTCAGGTGTGGGCAGTGTGGTCGGACCTACCGCCATGCTGGCAGTCTCCTGAACCACCGGCGCAGCCATGAGACAGGCCAGTATAGCTGCCCTTCTTGCCCCAAGACCTATTCCAATCGCATGGCCCTGAAAGACCATCAGAGACTACACTCTGAGACTCGGCGGCGGCGGGCAGGGCGGTCCCGGAGGGCAGCTGTGCGCTGCGCCCTCTGTGGCCGTTGCTTTCCTGGCCGAGGATCTCTGGAGCGACACCTGCGGGAACATGAGGAGGAGACCAAAGGGGAGCTGGCCAGTGACCAGAGAAGCTCAAATGGCACAGAGGTCAGTGAGGGGAACCTGGTCAACAACAAAGAACTAGAGGACAGATCAGGAGCTACTCAGTCATTGCCCCAGCTGGAAGATGGGGCCCCGAGGTTAGGAGAGCATAGTCAGAACCCCACTAGGACAGCAGATTCAGAAGTGACAGAGCCACTGTCCTGGGGCATGGGGCAAGGAGAGAGAGGAATGGTAAATCACAATGGAAGTTGGGTTCCTCAGGGTCAGGTATTGACCAAGGCAGAAAACCAGTCAGAGGACAGTGTTCTCAGGAGTCCTTGCCACCTTGCTAACAACCAGTCCAATGGACCTAGTCTAAGTCACATGGATAGCTGGGATAATGGAGATAGCAGCTGTCAGCCCCAGCCAGAGAGCCACTCCTATTCCTGCTGCCAGTGTGGCAAGACCTACTGCCCATCAGATGGCTTCATGAACCACAACACCCATAAGACAGACCTCCACTATTGCCTGCTGTGCTCTAAGGAGTTCTTAAATCCTGTGGCCACTAAGAGCCACGGCCACAACCATATAGCTGCTCAGGGTTTTTCTTGCCCTGAATGTGGCATAGCCTTTGAGTCACAGCATGAATTGGCCACTCACTTACAGACTCAGGCCATGGGCCACAGTCAGTTGCCAAGTCCAGTAAAAGAAGCTGGAACTGTAGACAAGGTGGGGCTCCTTAGTCAAGGGAAAGTTCAGGAGACCCCATCAGAATCCCTCAGAGCTTCAGGGGAGGATTCCAAGCAAGCTAGTGGAGGGCAAGGAGTAAACTTCACAGGGGCTGACAACAAAGAACGGCCCTTCCGCTGTGCCCAGTGTGGACGTTCCTACCGCCATGCTGGCAGTCTGCTGAACCACCAGAAAGCCCACACCACTGGCCTGTATCCCTGCTCCCTGTGCCCCAAACTTCTGCCCAACCTACTATCTCTTAAGAACCATGGCAGGACCCACACAGACCCCAAGCGCCACCGCTGCAGCATCTGTGGCAAGGCCTTCCGGACAGCTGCCCGGCTGGAGGGCCATGGGCGGATCCATGCACCCCGGGAGGGGCCTTTCGCCTGCCCCCATTGTCCCCGTCACTTCCGCCGTCGAATCAGCTTCCTGCAGCACCAGCAGCAGCAGCACCAAGCGGAGTGGACAGTGGCCAGCTCTGGTAAGGGAATGAATGGGCTTGGGAAGAGGATTGAAGGGTCCCAGAAAGAGGGCCAGTTGGGGCACTAGGAGGGCCAAATTAGCTCCCAAGGTGAGTGGGGGAGCAAGGAGGGAGAGAATCACATGGATTCCAAGAGGCTGTGGGGGACCTGCAGGTGGAGTGAAAAAAAAAAAGATTTGAGGAAGCTGCCTTTAAGCAGCTGAAATCTGACCCCTAAATTAGATAAACAGATGGCATGATGGGTGGGGGCAGTGTAAAATGAGAGGTAGTGGTCATAGGTAGAGGCAGCTGTGTGGGCTCCTTTGCTATAGCCCAAGAGGGATGGCTTTTTTCTTTTGACATGGGCTGGGTACCTGGGTATCACCTGGCTACTATGTCTGGAAACCCTCCTGATTCAGCCAGTGATGTTTTCTAGCAAGAAAGATGAAGTCATTGGTTTTGTCTATGTTCTGTTCTAGAGTAGGCAATGAGCCAGGCAGCAAGCAAGCATGGGCTAGGGAATAATTGGGAGTCGCAGGATTCCTAAGTCTTCATTCAGGCAATGGGGGGATGAACTTTTGGGCTTCAGGAGGTATGGGGTCTGCCCCTTCAGTAAGTGACCTCTATTGAGTGGACTGCTTTATGGCTTCACTGCTAACTTGGCAATGGAAATGGAATCATTGGTCAGTACCCAACTCAGTCTCTTCCCTACATCTTATCCCTGTTCTTTTCTCTTGGGAACTAGACCTCTTAATTTTTTTTTTTCCTATAAATATTGTTCCACATTTCTTTTTCTTCCCATTCGTCAATCCTTCTCTCTCTACTATAGATTTTTGTTTTGTTTTGTTTTACTATGTATGTATTTTTGAGGCAGGGCCTCCTAGTTCAGGCTGGCCTTGAACTCACTTTGTAGCCCAGGCTGGCAGTGATCCTTCTGCCTCTGCCTCCCTAGTACTGAGATTACAGACATGTACCACCACACCCAGGTGTGATCTTTTCAGATCCCACCCAAATCACTCTTTACACCTGCACACACGTATCATCCTTTTGTATCCTTCTATATCATCCTATCTCACACCTTTAACTGGAAAGCTGAGTCACACATAATTGTTTTTTTTTTGAAGCCATGCCCAGCATTAGCCACAATAGTCATTAGGCCCTATCTCTCATCATCTTATCAGAGGGCATCTGAATAGACTCATCCATCCCGCCTACAAAGGATGAGGTGTGAAAGGAAAGGTGGGGCAGCCTGTTCCCTACCAAGCCCTGGGCTTACTCTTTGCAATCCAGTAAAGGAGAACTCATTCGAAGGACAGGTGTTCCTGAGAGAGTGAGCCCTTGGCCAGAGCTTGTCAGGGAAGGAGAAGGATGGTGGATAACAGATGGCTCTCAGGGTGAAAGATTTCTTGTGATTATAAGGGAAATATGTGAGGGGCCAGGTAGCCAGAGCTGGGAAAGTATTTGGGTGTCTTAAGATTCCTGGGTTCTCTGGGGCCACAAACGGGGAATGGCCTGCTGGGTTGGGGAGCTGTGCCATCTGCCTCCTCAGTGACCTCCTGTCTCTCCCCAGGATCCCCAGTGGCACCAATGGCAAGCAGAGGGGACGTGTCGCTGCCTCCTCCAGCCACCCCCACAACCCCACTCCCGGACCCTTCACCCCAGTGGCCTGCAGACCTCAGCTTCTCCCTCTGAACTTCATCTCCAAAGATCAGAACACTGGAGAGCGGGTGCGGGCAGGGACGGGCTTGATCTCCATGTTTCGCTCAGGAGTAGCTTGGGCATCCCCAACTCTTCTCTCTCCCTGTGACAAGTACCCAGGTCTGGCTTCTTTCCTGAGAAGGGATTGGGGTGTTTCCTCACTTCCCTGTTGAAGGATCTGCTTCCCCCAACCTTTGTCACCATGTTCTGCCAAGATGCTGGGCCACCTTTGCCAGCCAGATTCCAACACCAGGGAAAGGCAGGCTCAGAGAACACCATGGGTGGGAATGTTGCCTGTGAAAGGGGAGCCTTTTGCTACAGTTTGTAACTTATTTTCTAAAGTCTATTTTGTAACAATTTATTTAAGTTTTAAAAAAGGAAAATTGCTCCCCCCAAAAAAGAAATTTTCAAAACAAGTGGCTGGTGTGATTGTATCTGAGGAATGAAGGGTAGAGACGTAGGAACACTGTATTGGAGACCAGAGCTGTGGGAGCATACACAGACCATATCCCTGTCCCGCAGGCGGAGTAGGGGCATCTGCTGGTCCTCGGCAGGCTCATTCCTGCAGCTAGATGAGCTGTTAGGCCTGCCCCAGGCCCTGGAACACACTTGGGAGCACAAGGAAGAGTAGGCATATGGACACAGGAGTTGTCACGCTTTTCCCATGTCCTGTGAACAGCCTAGAGCCACTTGTCAAAGGCTGGCAGGTTGGCCTATGAAGGAAAGGAAGAAGAGTGCAATTGGCCTCATCCCCACCATTTTGTTCCCTCCTGTAAAAGAGTAGGATCTGGCCAGGTGTGGTGGTGCACGCCTGTAATCCCAGCACTCAGAAGGCTGAGGCAGGAGGATCTCTGTGAGTTGGAGACCAGCCTGGGCTACATAGTGAGTTCCAGGTCAGTCTCAACTACATAGTGAGACCCTGTCT